TTTTGTGAAGGGGAGTAATCTGAATAACACCTTAGCAAGAAAGAGAGCCGATAAGACTCAACCTTAACATAAAGGTGATGCCCAGGAATGGTCACCGCCCCAGTCTTGGTTCCCAAATGTTATCGTAACACAATCGAACGTGCCTTCAGAACCCGCCCGGCAAGTCCATGAGGAAAAATTGTGAAAGTAGCAAAAATGCCAATCTAAGATCGCCTATATCGGGCTTAAATCGAACACGCTCTGATCATTAAATGGGTGTGAAGTAACGTCAGTTTTATAACTATAATAACTTGAACACGAACGCTATAATCTTATACTTTTGAATAATTTCTATTGGTTGTCTGTCCAACCTAAGGAGGTAGGAGTAGGGCTAACTTTGACGAGTGTCTGAATTTTTTAGGGGCAGGTAATAATTATTTATTTTTGAAACATACTAAAGCCTCTTTCGTCTTAACCAAAGATTTGCAAAAGAGACTCTATTACAAAGTGATAATGTTAATGCCTCCGTAACTTACCGCAGTCACAATGTTTTCCTGAGAAACCCGGCCGACATTTGCACTTATAACTGCCACAGGAAGTGACGACACATGTTCCCCCGTACCTGCACGGGTTGTGGCTACAACCTAGCTCTTCAAATTCATCTTCATCTGCATGCGAAAAAACAAATGATTTGTGGGAGTTGCGTGCAGTGAGGATTCAGTCGCGCGTGTCACTCTCTACGACGCGCGAGGGAAAACATATATGTTAGTTTGGTGAGAATGAAGAACACGAAGCTGGAAGAATAGCCTGAGAAGTAACGAAGTTGGTCTAGGATCCAAAAGATATGCACGAAAAAATACTTCCAGTTTAAAATCGGAAAAAGGAGACAAGCACTGCTTTGGATCAAATTCACTTACCCATACGCTTTATTTTACAGTGCAACTTTACTTGTGCCATATGTGGCTTATTTAATAGCATATTAAGTAAGATATATCATGAAAGAAACAAATATGTTCGAGCACAGATAGATTTCATTTAAGAATTGATTACATACCCGCAGCTTTGAGAGCTTCTTCTTCAGCAGCGAACGCATACCTGGACCTTTTAGCTGCAATAATTTACCAGACTAGATTATTTAATTAAATGCATAAAAAAATAAATAAATAAATAAAAAAAATTGGATTTAGCAGTGGACATTATACGAGATGTCTCTTCTTGTCCACTGTTTTCCAGGTCGAATTGGAATTTTAAATGTTGGTTTTTGTGGAGGAAGAAAAAACGGAAGAACCCGGAGAAAAACCGTCGAAGCAAGGACAAGAACCGCCGACAAACTAAACCCACATGTGCTTTCAGCACTGCGCCATTCCTGCTCTCCTTTGATTGCTACGAAGTCCCCCTTTAGGCCCTCCCTCTCTACCTTAATAGTATTTCTTTTCGCTAAATTGAATTCCTACCATACAGAAAAGTATATAGCTACTCATTACTACCATGCGAATAACTGCAAATCTCTACTAGCGGTTTAGGTGGCTAAAAGAAACACAGAGGGCCGATTAGTTACGCGAGGTCTAACCTAAACCATGGTTTTACGCATTCAGTGAGCCTTGGGTTTTCTGTATAAGAGGATTGCTTTATTTAAATAAATGTCCTTCTACTTTAAGCTTTTGGCCCTCTTGACGTCGTTCACAAAAATAAATGTCAAGATAAAAGGTTCGGCTAAACGGAGGATTGTTTAGGACGCAGTTTTGTTAATCAATGGTTCAGTAAACTTCGTCTAAATTAACGGCCCAGAATGTTCAATAACGGAACAAATTGAGAAGTTCTCACATACCCTCGGCTATTATACTTTCATATTCGTCATGGAACCCGTATCTGGAGCGTTCATCTGCAATTTAATCAAACTAGTCGATTATTTAATGAAATATCATTTTGATGATGAATCAAAAACATGTTCGATATCTTCAGAGCCAAATGCCATGAGCGCACTCTACTCGACAGTGAGTTTCTTATAATCAGAGCCTCTAAATAAACATTAAATTTGGATATGAGTGTTACAGAGTATACGTGGAGAACTGGCGATCTGAAAACTTGAAATACAGATTACCATGAAGAAAAATATGTACTGTGTATTTTGAGACTATTTTTTTAACAGAGCTATCATGTTAGAAGTCATTTGATTGTCAATTCCATCATGAAAAACCTTTCAGAGGCCTGCTCAGAAACAAGGGAGGTCTAATACCAAGACGGAAGTAGCAACCGTATAACGTCAAAGACCAAATCCAAAATGGTTAAAAGTGGAAAGTTTCGAAACCAATTTACATTCCCACTCGCACGCTATTTTCCGCAGTTACACCCTGTTCGTCAAGTCTTCGCCACTTTTATTTAGATTTTCCTGTTATACTGATAAAATAGATCGACTAAGTCATACTGGTGACTTGTGCTATGATTATGTCTCGGCTTTATTCCTGTTGCCTTTTAACTATTTCTAAATCAATCAGAGATGGGTCATATTTGTGATCGACTATATCTCTTATCAATTATATTTAGAACATGATCTTATGACGAATGAGTTCTGTCTAAAGCCTGTTTAGGTAATTCGTGTTAACACGTTAATTCTTCGGTGTATTTTTTTCTTGTAACATGTTATAGATGATCTTTAAATTTGACAGGCATTTGCATCGTAATTAATCAAATATTGATGTTTTTTCCGTGTTTTTTTTCTTTTGTTTGTCTGTTTAATTTTACATGCATCAGATCTTTTCCATAAGACTGTGGTATTTAGCCACGGCGACCAGCGTTAAAATTCTTCGAAGTTAAATATAAACAGACGCGAAATCCACCAAACACAACTATAACTGCCAAAAGTAAAACGACTTACACGCGTGACGTGATCGAGTGTGATCGTGATCTTCTCAGGAAGGAAATGAACCCTTCTCTATTTCGGCATAGCTTATTTGTTTGGGGTTATTGTGATGCCATGATAATAATACAACCAAAGACAAATATTTCGCTATTGAAATTCTAGCTGCATGCCAGATAAAGAAACTTTGGTTTAAACTATCTTTTGCTTTATAGCATTTATTGCGAGTATAGATAAATATTGAGTTTTGTGGTTAGTAAAAATCCACTCACTTATTGCAGTGCCTACCCTAATATATGGCACTTCATAAGTAGACAATAGAGAACAGCCCCGAGACAAAAGTGTTCCAATCAACCCGGAAAATTTTGTAGGATTCATTAATAATTTGCTGCAATGAGTGAGAATTGAGATGTTCACATATGTCTTCCGTAAAGATTACAAGAAACCGATATTTGTTTGTATTCATTGCATGATTGACTTAATGAATGAAGGGGGTAAAGTTTCTAACGAAGGAGTGGTGCTGCGTCGGTGGGAGTAACTAGGTAATATTGGTTTCGTCAACTGAGTTCACCATCTGCTCTGACGAAGGGCTGACGCTCGAAACGTCAGCTTGAAACTCTTGACAGTGGCTAATTTACATTATCAACTCCGTTGATAAAACCAATATTACATGATTAGCTTACTTCGTCTTGCACTAGCCAGAAAATGTCTGGCAAATAATAAAAGCCATTGATTTTACTCATCTGCCGAATCATAGGATCTATGCAAACTTTTGCTTTCTTCTTTCAGTTCACCCCTGATTACTTACAAATCGCACACACCCATGTAACTAGTTAGGTGAGCCACACAGCATGCGAGTCAGCTCACTTCAAAGATTAATGTCTCCAGCATCACCCTGCTTGCTCCCGTTTTGACCCAATCTAGATATCCATAAGTTTTGATCAGGCCTAGTGGCCCTATTTATTGATCAGAATCAGGAACATAAATTGCAATTGGAAACCAAGAAAGGATAAAAATTAAGATTTTTTTCACGAGGGCGTAAGATTCATTATTGGAAAGTAGATTAGTCACTCACCTCGTAAGAAATCGTATGACTTCGAATCGCCAATTTCCCTACCAACGTTAAAATATTGTTCATTCTTACTTTTATATCCACCAACAGCTGTAGTAAAAACACAAATTGCCAAAGAAAGCTGGAGACAGAGTACTGCCATGTCGCACGCACTGTAGTAAATAAAGATGGTGCGAATTCTCGTCCCTTATTCTGGGCCGCTCAATAGAGTCTTTGCGTCATATCAGATTTTTCCGCATTTCGATCTTGTTTATGACCTGTTTAAAAGGTTTCTGAATAACCCATAGAAGGCGGGAAAAAGTTAGCCATTGAAATGTCGCCCACATGGCTCTGCATCAAAGACTCTTTTGAAAACCGAAAAAAAATACAAACAATTGCGGTTTGAGACCTTAATTACAAATAAAACGGACACGAGGTACCGAACCGTGAAAATACTCCCAGTTAAAACTGGAAACTATTAAATTTGGTGAAATTACAGCGACAAAACTTTAGATCGTAGATATTCCAATTGTTTTACTCTTAAGAAAAGGTTGCAGTATCTAGAAGAAAATGATCCACTTTTTAAACAATTATTCGTTGAGGTATTTTGTTTGGTGTAACAGATCCAGCTCGGTTAAGATGAGCCATATTTTAGCCTTCTACTGAATAATAACAATAGCGACGTTGCCAAACAATTTCGCCATGTCTTGACTTTTTTTTTGAAAAATAGTTTAAGTTAACAACAACACTGGATTGCTTTAGATCCTGTGGGACTGTTGAAAACTTATCATCATTATGAAGTGGTTAAAATATCCGACTGCTTGACACATATTTTATACGGTAAACTTTTCTCTTGCATGTCAGTGTAGTTTGTGTAAAGTTATTAATTCAAGCGGAGTTACCATTGAATTCGTATTTTTGTTTTGTTTTGTTTTTTAAATAGACTTATTATGATCTAATTCATAAGAAGAAACTGGAAAATAATCGGCCGTCAGAACACTTTTGACTCTGTGGCTAATGCGGTGGTGCGACTCACAGACGCAATTTGCGCAACCAATATGCACGGATGCTACACGACAAAATTTTATATCGTTTCACTGCATGCTAAAAAATTTCCATTTTTTTCTTCTATATTTTCTAAATGGAGATTTATCTAATGGACAAGAAAGAAAAGGGTTTATGACTGAAACATGCATTTCCATATTTCAAAATTTTAGACTTTCTTTCAGAAAGCTTGTAAAACTGATTCTATCTTCGGGGTTTAATTTTCATTAAGCCAAGATATTAATGGAGTTGATGAAGTGTTTGTTACAGCCAAAGATTGTCACAATGTATCAGAGAGAACAAACAGTAATTGTTTCTCTTGTTGCAAGAGTTCAGAGCATGATGAACTGTTTGTTTGGAATGATTCAACGAATTCAAAGCAACACCTAACCTCCAAAGTCTACGAATTCTTCAAAACAATATGTATGCTAAGTCACGCGACCGCACTATAAGGACAATACTAAAATCTCACGAACAGCCGCACTTCAATTGTCACGTACGTTGTTTACTGAGATCAGGCAAGACGCTATCAAATGGACGAAATAAAAGTTTTCAAGCTTAAAATGAGTGTTTGTTGCGGCTAACAACTTTGGACAACAAATTGATCATGAGATTTCTCAGTAATAATGAGAAACAGCATGAGTTGTTATCTGCCATCATACTCTGATGAACATTACAAGTGACGCAAGAAAAGAAATGACTGCATAAAAAGCGCCTTGCAGAAAATAAACCTGAAAAAGTTCAGGCATCGACGTGATTCGATCCTGTGACTCCCATGCAGATGTTATTTGGATCCTAAAATCAACTGAACAACAAAGCCACATGTTGGGAGCGAGGCAAATTTTCGGGCGTTCATCATCATAGATAAATAGTTATTACAAAGCATTTGCTTTGGGTAAGATTTTGTTTAATAGAACCACGAAGACTCTTGTGTATTACCTAAGTACGTCATAACCTTTTAGTCATAAACAAACGAGAATTATAGACCCATGATTTGAGTGTTTTTAAAAAGTTTACTTCAGACGCACTCCAAAAACACAGCTGATGCGCAGAAGCCCTTATGCAATACGTGACTCTCAATTTGCATAACTGTCCTTCAAGGAAAACTGCTCACTAGAAATTCGTGACGTTGGCCTTTTATGACTTACCCAGATTGAATTAAATGTTGTACGCTAATAGTTGTAGTTATTGAAAGGCGCAAAGCCAAGGCTCAACGATCAGAATTTGAAAATTAAGCTAAAATTTTTAAACTGTGTCATTTGCAATCTGCGCATATCTCTGTCATCCTAACAATCTCTTTTCCTTTTTGTTGGTATTCTCACCTCTTAGGAATGTGTCGACCCTAACAAGAGATCATCTGAAAAAGTATGATAAGAAATTCTTTTAAGAGCTAAAAGTTACCCTATGAAACGCCTGTAGAACATGATTGCTTAAATTCCTTCTGGTTTCTGCTCAGAGTTTGTCAAAGTTTACACATTATTCCTTAATGTATGATTCACACAACAGGGAAAATATATGTGTGGGTTCATATCCGGACACGTTTTTCTTGCCCATCATGTTTCAATATTAGAGCAATTGTGGTTAGCAGAGCGTGAGAACACTTACACCATCGTTTAATTGAATTTCACATTGTTCTAGAAGCGTAGCCTTACTCCTGTTACCAAGGCAACTAAAGCATAAACCTGTGTACTTTGTCTCCAAAATCATAGGTCCCCCAAATGGCAATGAAAGGCCGAGGAAATTTTTTCAAATTTGACAAAATCAAAGAGTAGATATATTTTTTTTATTCTCGAATTTTACGGATGAGCCTCAAATACAATTAAAAATTACTACATTGATTGAATATTTATTGCAAGTAAAGAATAAGTTGAGCATAGCCGTTCAAAAATTAAGTTTTGTTGTTTAATAGAACTGACACGACGATGAATGATGTTATTGATTAATCGGTTATTTTTTCTGGTTTTCCAGAATCGTGTGGCTTCGATACCCAAGCAGAATTGAGAAACGCGGTTTGCAAACCTAATCAGTGAATGAATTCGAAAGATCTGAAAATGGCTTTTAAGTCTTCTCTTTTATATTTCCTGAGAATTTTTATGACTCTTCAGTGTCGGAAAAATCTTTTTACTGCTTTTATAAAGTAACTCAAATAAGTTTATCAAACTTAGGCTGATCTGCCGAAATGCACTCCAGGAGGTGAGATCAAATATGATCTGAAAAAGATGTGACAGTTCTTCTCAACTGACTTGACGAGGCTAACAACATTAGTCGCCTACACTACACCAACTTCTGGTTCAAAATTTTACCAATTAATTCTTTCAAAGATGTTTTTTCCTTCCTATGACAGATCACTAAAAGGGCATCGTATTTTAAGTGCCTCTCTGCAATGCCTTTTATTCGATGCGGGTTATAAATATGGGTATGTAGATATGCATACCTACTGAACTTTTTGACATCATCTGTCGACCTTATGTTATTTTCGATCAATTCTAGATTCGAGTTCCGTTCAAACTCTAATACAAACTGTTTGTCAGTGAGTATCTGTAGATAGCTTGCTCTTACGTAGCTGACCAGCACATAGTTTTCAATTTGTAAGACCCACTTAGCAGGATCCATTGTATTTACAAATCCACAGAGTACACAATTTTTGAGAAAAAAATCTGCCATCTGCGAGTTTAAAAGGCCAAATCTACTGTTCGGCAAGCAAATCAATCCGCTATTTTGCCTTCACTACTCAACTGGACACACAAGAGTTGATATCTGGGCGGGTTAGGGTGCCAAGCCACCGTTTATTTAACGCCAAATCGATATGCTAACAGAAGTCTATTACAATTGAAGTAAACTAAATGCACCAAAGCCGGACACGAAAACCCCTAAAAACCAGCAGGTGGAAAATACGGAGAACGTGTACCCCCGACCAAGGTAGCGGTGCCACCCTTGGGGTTTTAGGGTATCCTATGAATGACATTTTTACATGGTTACTTAAGGTACTATGCAAGTACCGCTGTAAATTTATACAAAAGACGAAAACGAAAACGAAAAGCTACACACGGTGAAGGCTGACCGTAGACTGCCTTGCCCTACTAACGACCTCCATTTACAAACCACGATCCCATAACTCTCCGCGTACCTCGCAGCCACCCCCAGTCCTCCGATACGTGCAGGCAAACTATTAATTTATGCTAATTAGGATTACCACAAATTATATTTTCTTTCAGGTCGTCATATGAACACCAAATTTAATGAAAACCTTGTTCACCCTCGCGCACTACGTAACCATCTAAGACTGCACTTCTCACCATTTTGTTAACGACTTGTTGAGCATCTGTTTTAATTCTTTCTTCTCAAAATAATTTCTCTGCTTTTGTCACTCTCATTCCACGACTGACAGTGGCATTACTTTGCTTGTCGCCACCTTATCGGTTGGTCATCGTTTACTTTCAAATAACGAAGATTCCTCTTTTCACATTACGTAATTATTTTGATTGTTGTTCAGTATTTTTTAGAATTTTCACAACGGAAAGATTACGAAAAAGTTTTGAATCAAATACCACAAGACACCTTTTTTTACAAAAAAACTTACACTTGTCAGAACAATTATAAGTTACGTAATCCTCTCGTGCAGTTTTCTTTCATTTCGGCAGGAGACAGCCTGTCTTTGTTTGATAGTCCAAATAGTGTGTCGTCAAAGAAAATTCAAAGTGGACTTGCCAAAATTCCTTCTACTCGAGCCTCTTAATAAACGGTCTAAAAGTGATCATTCATTTAAAATCACTGAGCACTTTGTTACCCACTTCCCCTTTGGCAGCCACATCCAAGTTGTTTGTTTATTCACTTACTACTTGTGTTTCATGCACTTAAGAGGAAGTCAATTAACTATTAGTTAATTGGCAACTCTTAATATTGTTGTCATGAGTCTGAAAAAAGGATTTCTCTTATTTAACTGTGGTGTGACATGTCACGCCTGTCACGTGACCCACTATCAACCAATCGACTGTAATAAAGGCTGATAGTTTCGAAAGAAACTGTTTGGGGCTGCGTTGGTGGGAGTAACGAAATAATTTGCATATATCAACAAAGTTGAAATGGTAAATTGGCCACCGTGACGATTACAAAAGCTGACGTTTCGAGCGTTAGCCCTTCGTCGGAGCGAATAGAGGAATTGTGGGCT